CCCTGGTTAGGCTGGGGGCCCCCCTCTTCTGCATTCTCCTGGCCCCTTCCGCCTTTCAGACTTGTCACAGAGTATAGTTAACTTTATATTTTTATGATTTATGATATAAAGTTAAGATTTTATAACTCAATATTACCGTTTTCCTTCTCTGCCTCCCCAGCTAGCCCTTAAGCTCCTAGGGGTGGGATCTGGGTCGGATTCCCCCAGTATCCCTGGGGCTCAGCTGTGGCAGAAAGGAAGGGCTCACCTGTTTGTATTCTTGCGGAATGAACCATGGAATTCGGCACGGTGGACTCTTAAGAGTCACTGGAAGGCCTCTCCGGGCCATGTTGCCCATCTTCAAGTCTAACGTGGAACTTCCTATGGGCCCTCCAGGGAACGATTAGTGTTGGACAATCTGGGGCCCAACCACCTCTTCCTCCTGGGGTCCGGAGGCCTGGCCTTTGCCCAGCCCGTGCCTTTGCTGTAATTCCAGCATGTCTGTGGGAGGAGGTGCAGGGTGGCGGGTTCTGCAGCAGGTGCGTGGGCCCTGGGTGGGCCGGCTCCGTGGACGGCCGGCTCCGTGGACGGCCGGCTCCGTGGACAGTGGGTTGGGCTGCAGAGACTGCTGATCCTTCCAGTGTCAGGGGCACGGCTCTAGATTCTAGGCCATACCATGGGGCTTCAAAGTGTGGTGGGTCCAGAGCACAGACCGACCTTGGCAGCTTGGGGATACCACGACCCCTGACATCTGAAGGCCGGGTGTTTAGACTCTGCTTGGGCGGAGCTCCCCTTGTCCCTGAGCACCCCTTGCCACAGAGAGGCCAGCCTTGGCCTTGGGGACCTCCGAGGCAAGAACCTGATAGCCTGGCCCTCATTATTTGGGGTTGTCTGCATGGATCCCAAGGACGCTGTTTTCTCACATGTAGAAGCAGGAGTTGAATATTAAACTAAGTCATCACCGTGTTACTGACAAGCTCCGTGCAGGAAAGGAAATTGTAACCGTATGAAATATTCATGCCTCATATTGCAGTGATGCTACGGGCAGTGTGTTGTTTTTGTGGTCCGTCGGGTTTTCTTTTTTCTTTTTCCGAAGTGGATTACAAAATGCCCTCCAGTAAGGAAACTGCTCATAGAGAGATTGTGCGCCAGGCCTGGGGCTGTTTTCTGGAAGAAGGGAGGTTTCGGGATCACAGAGGGAGACGCCCTGAGAGCGGACAGGGGAAGGGGGAGGCTCCTCCATCCAGGTCACGGGGCCCCCGCCCCAAAATAACCATGTCACGGGGCCCAGCAGGAGCAGCTCCCAAAAGCTCCTCCATACCAAGAAATGGTTAATCTTCCAGATACGTTAAAATCGTCACATAATTATCACTTTTTTTTTTTTTTGTAAGTACCACCACCTAACATCTGTCAAGAAATCTGGGTTAGAGTCCCTTGTCTGGGATGCCCCTTTATTTTATTTATTTATTTTTAAAAGATTTTATTTATTTATTTGACAGGCAGAGATCACAAGCAGGCAGAGAGGCAGGCAGAGAGAGAGGAGGAAGCAGGCTCCCTGGCCGGAGGTCCAGGATCCTGGGATCATGACCTGAGCCGAAGGCAGAGGCTTTAACCCACTGAGCCACCCAGGCGCTCCTGGGATGCCCCTTTACATTCAGGTTCGGAGAAGCCCCCTGCCCCCCCGGGCGTCATCAGATGGGGAGCCTGCTCCCCGCACAGCCGGTGCTCGGTGCCCGTAACCCCTGCTCATCACCAGGACCCCGCGTGTTGGCACCATCGTCCTCCTACTTCTGGAGGTGACAACACTGAGGCCAGCAGAGGGAAGGGGGGCGCGGTCCACTCAGACCGTCATGGGGAGGACACGGCAGGTGAGACTTGACTCGAATCCCACTGACATCAAGGGCTTTGTCAGCTGGCAGAGCTGCCACCAAATGCCATGTCGCGAGGCCTGGCTCTGGCTTACCACAGGCACGAAGACACAGACGGGTTTTCAACTTTTCAGAAGTTTTATTATAAAGAAACCGAGAGAAGCACTGGGCACCAGGACGGACACTGGCCAGGGCCAGGAAACCGCTGCAAACAACTTCAAGAACCAAAACCCAAAGCAAAGCCGAAAATCACACACACGTTATGATAAACTGCATTTCTGTTCTCAACTTTGCTTCATAAATAGATGAAAGTCGTGTTGGCAATTTTAAATAGACGGACACAGGGTTAAAAAAAAAAAAAAGCGCAACGTCTCCAAGTGTGGGCTCTAAGCGGTCAGGCTCTGGCCTCACGGGGCAGGGGTCTGGCTCTGGCCACAGGGGGTTGCGGGGGTGGGGAACAGTGTGGCGGCTGCTTTTGTGCACGTCTCCCTCAAGAGAAAATGCAAAAAAGGAAGAAAAAAATGTGCTAAGGGGTCATATAAAATGCTCTTCCCCTTAAAGGAAACTACTCCCCTTCCCCACAAAATCATCTTATCGATGTCTTCAGCCCGGGTCTAAAACACTTAGTCAACTACTTACATGGAACCAACAGTTCAGAGGTTCGGTAATCTTTGTTCACACCATAAAAGCGCGTTTGCACGTCCTCGGCCAGACGGCCCGGGTCCATGCATCTGGGGGTGGGTTTCGGTCAGAGGGCAGCCGCCGGGGAGCCTGGGCCGGGCCGGAGGTCCAGACACAGAGTACGGTGTGCAGGGCAGGGGGCGGGGTCCACGGCAGCCCCGGAGCAGGCGGACGGGGGCAGAAGGTGCCCACAGGTGCTGCGGGCGGCGGTGGGCGGAGGACCGCCTCTGCAGGGTCTGGTGGGAGGTCGAGGAAGAGACTCGGCCCTGGGGCGTCGTCGCTGTGTCACTGCTCTCTTCCCAGTCATCCTGCTTCCTGCCCAGGCTTCCCTTCTGCTGTGGGCCCTTCAGGCTCTGAGCAGTGCCCCTCCAGCAAGCCTCAGGGAGGAGAGGGGAGGCGGGATTAGGTGAGGTAGAGCGATTTATCCCTGGGGAGCAGGCTGGGGAGAGAGGAGGGGCTGTCAGAGCCGTGGGGGTCGGGGGCGGGGGGGGGGGGGGCGGGGGGGGACACCTGGGCCACGTGCTTGCTGGCTGGCCTTCACCTCCACCCTGGACGTGCACTGCCCCTCTGAGGATGAGTGGGGCACGCGGGTCCCTCCCCGACAGACAAGCCACCAGCCGAACCAAGCTCCTCTCCCAGCATCCATCCCAGCTGGGGACCGAGGAGTCCTCCGCCCTGGGGGGAGGAGGCTGCAGCGCCTCTGTCTGTCAGACACCCCCGCTCCCCCGTCTCTGGGGGCCGTTCTTAGCTATTTGCAAACTTCACACGGAATCAGAGGAGGGCAGGCGCCTTCTGTGTTTTAAAATACGGCGCTCGCTCATGGAGAGCCAGGGGGACCTTGCCGGCATCGTGCCAAGAGAAATAAGTCGGAGGGAGACAAGTATCGAGTATCAGAGTCTACACGAACCCCACACCAAGCTGGCAGAGAGAGCGGAGTGGTGGTTGCGGGGTGGGGGTGGGGGGTAAAATGGGGGAAGGGTCAAAAGGCATAAACTTCAGGGTCTAACATGAGTGAGCCTCGAGGCTGCCATGGACCGCGTAGGGACTACAGTTAATAACACTGTATTTTTGTAAGTTCCTGTATTTGAAAGTTGCTAAGGGAGTAGGTCTTAAAACACTCTCATAGGACAAGAAAACCATCTGTGAGTGGCCACAGATGCCGACTAGACTCAGGTGGGGATCGGTCCCCAGCACACACGGGCCTACTCAGAGCCCATGTGGACGCCTGCAAATAACACTCCAGTCCTTCCTGCGTTCAAAAAACCAAGTAAAGCAGGTGCTGCTGCGGTCTGCCCTCCATGTCGGGGGGAAGCTCGGACACGTTCCATAAAGTCCACTAGTGAGCCCCCCGCCCCACACTCTGACTTGGGGAAAGGAGCCTGCAGCAGGAGGGCAGGGGTGGGAAGGTCTGCCCCTTGTTGGGGTGTGGGGGATGGGAGGGTCTGCCCCTGTTGGGGGGTTGGGGTGGGAGGGTCTGCCCCTGCTGGGGTGTGGTGGGTGGGAGGGTCTGCCCCCGCTGCGGGGTGGGAGGATGGGAGGGTCTGCACCTGCTGGGGTGGGGGGTGGGGAAGGGGATTCCAGCTGAGCCGAGTCTGCCACGCAGGTAGACTCTCACTGGACACCCGCAGTCAGCCGTGGGGCACGTGCCATGTCTGCTGGCTCCCTGGCCACCCTGGTTGGATGAGGAGCAGAAGAGCTGGGGCGAGGGGCAGCTGGAGGCTGGCAGCAGGGACGGCCACCTGTCCCGCCTTCCAGGATGTGAAGCCGCTGCTTGGACCCCATACCCCGGTGGTAGCCACAGAATTGGTTCTTGCCAGGGGAATGGGAGTCGGGGTTGGTGGGTAAAGGAACTGGGTGCCCTCTCCGCCCATTTCCCTCTTGAGCTGGCTGAGCTGACAGGTCACTGACTCTTGGAGCAGGAAGATCTTCGTGAGGAAGGGCAGCTAGCACGGCCTTGAAAGGCTAAGGATGGGAGGGGAGGTCGGAGGATGAGGTCCACGTAAGGACCACAGAGAAGTCAAGCGGCCTGGGGGTTGGCGTGTCAGAGGGGCACTGGACTGGAGCAGTGGGGGTCCCAGTAAGGCGTGTGACTCCTGCTGTTGGCTCGTTGGCCCTTGGCCGAGGATGCCAGTGGACACCGGGGGTGCTGCCCTCAGATCCCCGTACTGCCCTCCCAGTGGCCTCTGCTCCAGAGACCTGCCGCATCCCGGGCAGCCCACTGCCAATGGCTGATTGCCATGGGGAACAAAAAGCCCTAACCTCACGGTGGGACCCCGTCTGTGGTGCCCTCTGTGCTCCCAGTGGGATCGGGCGGAAGCGAGTCTCTGGCTGAGAGCCCACCCTCACTGGCTCCTTCCCTGGCCCGGTCCCACCTCCCTCCCTTCCTTCCTCCTGCAGAACCTCCCTCAGCGTCATCAAGGGCCCCCAAATCCTGCTGCCCGGGCCCCGCTTCTAGGGAACCTGACCTGAATGTCACAAGACAGCCCTCGTGAGCAAACTGGGACAGCAGGGGGTGCAGCCGGACTGAAGCTGGGCCCCTTTCCCAAGCAGAGCCTTGGCATCGGACCCGCCAAGTCCTTCTGGGGTCTCGCTTTGTTCCGCGTCTTCTCGTGAAGACGCCGGGCAGCCAGGCCCCAGGAGGCACAGTTGCGGGGCCGCGGTGACCCACACGGCCTCGCCTCTCCCCATCCCTGGGCGGCCTGTGCCCCCTCTTCGGCTCGTCGGCGGTGGGGTGCTCGGGGGGACCCACCTGCACGTGCTGACGCCACACTCGGCGCTGGGGTAACTGCTCTCCCAGTCGCCGCTGCTGCTCGGGGGGTTGGACGGACCCGGTGAGCGGGGTCCCGAACCGCTGGGGAACTCGGAGATGTGAGGGAAGTCCTGCCAAGGGGCAAGGAGGCGGGTGAGCAGGGCAGAGGTGATGGGGAGCACAGTGCAGGCTGGGGGTACTGGCCCTGCCCGCGGGAGCTCACAGGGACGCTTCCTCTGGCTTCTAAAAGCCTCGCCTCTGCCCCTCTGCCTGCAATGCTTCTTCCCCTTCTGGAGCTGAGCTCCTTTTGGAAAATTCAACCCTTCTCCCAGCTGCATCCGGAAGTGAAGGGCTCTGCTTTCAGGGCCTTTCCTCTTCCGGCCTCAGTTTCCCAGTCTGTAAAATGGAGTTGTTGTACTGAGCGACACGAATCTTGTAACAGCATCAGTGGAACGGTCAGCGGGTCAGGCCTCCGAGGCTTTAGGGAGAGCCAGGGGCTGGGACTGACCTGGCAGAACCTGCACGGCCTCAGCCCATTGGGCCGGAGAGCAGAACTGGACAGAGGGCAAGAGAAGGACAGGCTTGGGATATCCTAAGACTCTGAAGATTCTGGGGACCTGTCAACTGCTCAATGCAGCCTGTACCTCTCAAGGAAGGTGGACTAGACCCACTTCACAGATGTGGTGACGGAGGCTCAGAGAGGTAAGGTCCCGAGGCCAAGGGGCGGGGCCAGTATCTGAAATCCCGCACTGCCTGCCCTCCCCACACAGGGATCTGAAGGACACGTTCCCATGGGGCCCTGCTTACCTGTGGCCCTGGAGGTGAGGGGCTCATTGCCAGCTGCACCTGCAGTGCCATGGGAGTGGGCAAGACCGGAGCCTGGGGGGCCGGAGACATGCTAACAGGCGGACTGAGGAGGGTGCCCTGGGCGTGGGGCGGCAGTGGCAGCTGCTGGTGCAGTGGGGGGCTGAGTGGGAAGGAGGGTGGCGGCGGCGGGGACGCGCTGAGGCCTGGCAGCAGGGTCTTGGACCCCAGCGTCCGGGCCAGGCTGGCGGGGGACGCCCCGCTGCGGAAGGCCTGCAGGTCCGACGGCGTCAGGAAGGAGGCCAGGCCTGGCATGGCATACATGGGCTGCTTGGGCGGCAGCATTTTGGCCGGCGGGTTCGCCTGCGTGCCTTTGGTCTCACCCTGCTCTGGGGAGCTCTGCAAGGAGACAGACACCAGTCACTCTGGAGAAGACGAATAAGCCAGAACTTGGGCCATGAGACCCCCTGGGTCTGCGACCGGCCGACACAGTCCCTGGCTGGCTCTCTGGCCCCTTGGCGGGGAGCTACCGGCAAACCAGAGGTAATCCCAGGTCCTCAGTGCACTTGGCTCTGACCAAGTGTTAATTCCTGGGGAATTAACGAGGATGCGGTGGACACCGGAAGCCCAGCTTCCTCAGCCTGGCCCGTGATGCTGGCCTCATCCAGCCAGGCCTCCCTCTACACTCCTCTCCAGCCTCTACGCCTTGCCTGTGCTGTTCCCTTGGCTTGGAACGCCCTCCCTGCTTGGCCCTTTGTGGCCTGACGGACGTGCCTTGCGCTCCGTGACAGCTTCCAGACGAACGCCCCGACGCTCGTCATTTCAGGCAAGCTGCTTAAACCCACTGAATGCTGGGTTCTTTTGGGAAGAATTAAACGAAACGGCATGCGTGTAAAGCGCCGGGCACGAGCGTGGCACACGGCAGGTGCAGGGAGAAGTGACCCCACTGGGCTTCTCTGTCCTTCCCAGGAACTATGGCTTTGACCCTTCCCAAGGGCCTCGGTGCCCCCCTTGATCAGGGCTGGGCCAACGGGCCAGGGTGTTACCTTGGAGACAAGGCTTGCCCTGTAGGCTGCCAGAGCCTTCAGATACTCCTTCTTTGCCGCTTCGGTCTTTCTCTTGTAAGCCTGAAAGATCCAAAACATGGGCAACATCGGGGAGTGGTCAGGTGATCAGCCAGAGGCATTTGCCTCTGAGTTCGTTCTGCTCCCTGTTCTCCTTGGATGCCCTTGAGAGGGGCCGGGCACACGGTCAGTGGGGAGGAAGCCCTGGCCTGGTCTCCAGGCTGGCACAGTTGGAGGGACAAGACGGACAGAGATGCTTATTCTCACTTAACAGAAGAGGAAGCAGAAATCAGAATGGTTAGGCCACTAGTGAACGCAGCCGGCAAACAGCAGAACTAGAAGGGCTCTAGCCTCCCAGCTTACAGATGGGCAAACTGAGTCAGGAGAGACCCCTGCAGGAGGTTTTTCCTGATTTCAGGCATTCCAAGTCTGTCACTGGCTCCAGGGTCTCAAAGCCCCGGGAAGGGACAGACTCACCTGCTTCTGCTCCTCTCCCAAGCTGTCCCACATGGAGGCCACGATTTTGGACACATCCCCGAAGGTGGCACTGGGGTTCTGTCCCTTGATGGCAGCTTGAGTGTCTCTGAAGAAGAGCGCATAGGCCGACACAGGCTTCTGTGGCTCGTTGGGGTCCTTCTTCTTCTTCTTCTTTGGGTTCTTGGTCTTTTTTCCTGGGTCGGTGGAAGGTCTCTTCTCTCCCGACATCTGCACAGAGGAAAGGAGTCAGAAAAGTAGAGATGCCATGGGCTTCCCCCTACAGGTCCCCACCCCAGCCTGAGGCAGAGGGGACCTTCCCCAGCAGCCCCATTGCCTGCCTGTCCAGCTCTGAGTGCATGTAGGCAACGGCGGGTGGCCCACACCCCGGGCTCCAGCTCAGGCCGTGCAGGCCACACTGTCATGCTCACCGCTCTCTGTGAGAGGCAAAGCACACACACACACACACACGCACGCGCGCGCGCGCGCACACACATGCACACACACACACGCAAACATACACCCATGCACACACTCACGCACACACATGTCCTGGGTAAGAGCTAGGAACCCCAGGGTTACTGTTTAACTCATGAATGAAAATCAGCAAGGTGGCAAAGTTGATTCAAAGAGAAAAAGTGCCCTACAGAGCAATGAAATGATCACCTTTGGGGCTTTTACTCTTTTCTCCCAGGCAGAAGTCATTTGCGTCTCTATAGGGAGACATTAATTCACCTTATAATCCGACAAAAATTGTTTACCTCTCTGCCACTTCTTTCCCAAGGTAACATCTACGTTTACAGAGTGTAAAATCCCCTAATGGATCAGGAGTAAGGAATCCCAACAACGGTACGCTCTCCTAGAGAATCTGGGGGCTCCCGCGCGAGCCTGTGGATGTGGTATGCCACTGAAAGTGCGCTTGGCCCTGGGCTCAGCCCAAGTTTTGAGGATATCAATTTTTCTGAACCCTCCTCCCTTGTGATCACAGAAAAGCCCCGAAGATGATCCTTAGCCATCCACGAACTTTCAGGTGTGCGTCTTGGGGCAGGGGACTTAGGGCCGGGGCCCTGTGAAGTTGTGGGACAGGTAAGAGGTTATGTGACTCGGTGGGCGTGGCCTCGTTCCGGACACGTGGCCGCAGAAGCAGGACCGCAATCCTGTGAGTGTGCGACTCAAGGCTTGCGGGATGGGAGCTGCGTAGGGATGCTGGCCGCAGACCTCAGTGGGTCACCAGCAGGACCCTCAGGTCACACGGGGACCAGGAACTTTAGTCAAAGCCCTGGATCCTACAGTGAAGACTGTCACTCTCTGCACCGAGCAGGTGACACCAGGAACCGATAAGGAAATCGTGGGGGGATGGCGAGGGGAAGCCGGTAGCCACGCAGCATCTGTTCCTGCCTCTCTCTGCAGCCAAACTGACGTAACCTCTCTGGGGCCTGGGTTTTCCCATCTGCCAGTTGGAGAGGACAATGGCCTTGACCCCACAGGGCTGTCATGAGGACCCCATGGGTTAATACTGGTTATGTGCTTAGAACAGTTTTCGGCCCCAATGGGGTGTGCTAAATATAAGATAAAATAAAGCCACTCCTGCAAGGTACCGTGGGGATGCAGCTGGACCAGATCCAGAGGTGCCCACCCAGCCCCGGCGGTCATGGTCCGGGTCAGGTGGCACAGGCGCCATAGTCACTGCCCCCAGGCTTCTGCAGGGCCCCCACGGGGAAAGGGATGAGAGCCCTCAGGAAGAAGAAATGGAGGTGGGGTTTGGTGGATCACGTTTGGGTTCTGCCACGGGCTCATGGGGAGACTCGCAGTGAGCGCTGCCATCCCTGGGCTCTCTGGCCTCTGTCTTCCACCCCAGTGAAACCAGATGCCTTCCCACAGCCAGGGGGAGCTGTCAGTGCAAAGGAAGGACAAGCCTGGACAGCTAGTGACCTCTCACCCCTGACGTGTTCTTTAAAGGCAGGACCACCCATGATTCCAGGGGTGCTGGGGGTGGGGGGCATGTCCCCAGGGGGAACGTGTCAGTTCCGGTGCTGCCCAGAGCTGTCCTCTGCTGGGCTGCACACCTTTGTCAGAAAACCTTCTCCTGCAAGGTCAAAGTGGCCATAAGATGTGACCTTGAGGATCTTGCTGATGCCATCAATGTCACCGAGATGACCCACTGGCCATTGAGGAATAAGCCCTCACCACGTTGTCACAGGATTCTCTCCTCCGCCCCCTTGGCCACTGGAGAGCATTGTCTCTGCTTTATACACAAGGCCCTGGGAGCGGAGGGGCACAGCTTGGCAAGAACACTTGGCAAATCTAGCGGCTGCAACCAGATAGCCCCAAGTCCAAGCTCGGTCATCTCTACTGACCAGGGGCTCCAGCCGGCAGACCCCGTGCTACCTGCTGATTTCCCTCCTCTGTGCCCTCCAGCAAATGCTACAGTTGTGCTCTTCCAGTCTGCTCTCCAGGCCGGTGATGCCCGTTTCCACGTAGGGCCCACCCGCCTCCTGACGGGAGGGCATCTCAGGGCCTCGCGTGGCCTCCCGACCTACCTTGAAATGCGCTTCTGATTCCTCCTCCTGAGTTGAACTGGAGGGGGAGGGCGTGGCTGACTTGCTCCCTGGCGGGGACGGGGAGCTGTGGGCGATGCCACTCCGGATGCCCATCTGAGAGATGAGCTGGGACTGGCTGAGGGCGCTCATGTGGCTGGCCAGCATCGCAGGGCGGCCCAGCAGGGGCCCTGGCCGGCTGGAGTCGTAGGCAGCGACCTCCGAGTGGACCATCTCCTGGATCTGAGAGAGGAGAACGGGGCATGGTGAGCTAGAGGGGACCTGCCTGCCCCCATCACACAGTGGGACTCCGAGGAGGGGCAGGCTGTGGGCTGTGGCACTGTGGGCTGCGCTCCCCTGGTTTGGCGTCTTATAAGCTGAGTGACTCTGGCTAAGTTACTTAACCTCTCTGTGCCCCCACTTCTTTGTCGGAAAAATGCGGATAATAATTAAGCATACCTTCAAGTGTTGGTTAGGACGAAATGTGCCTGGCACCTAGTAAGTCATACATTGGGTAAGGGTTTGTTAAATACATAGAATAAATAAATCCCTTAATAAAGCTATATATTTCTCTTCCTCTCAGCCAGTAATTTTCTTATTAAATCTTCCCTATGATATTTCTAACTGGTAATTTTTGGACTACAAGAAAGAGCCTGACTTTCACATACAGGCATTGCTCACACTAAACGCTTATGTGGGACAGTGTGTCCTTTTCACTTAAGTATCTTAAATACATACACACGCACATTGTGGAGTGCGGCATACCAGTCTGCATCCTCTTATAATTATTTTTATTGCTTTTGCATCTGTGTTTATTTTCCCTTTGTTATTTCTGATGCCAAGTAGCTCTATTTTCCTCTCATGTTTTCTTCATTAGGCAAGCTCATGGATTTTCCCATTTTTATTATGTGGGAGGTTTTCTCCTCCTCAAAAGAATCAGATTTCATATTTGTTTATCGCTTCTCTGTTTTTTGATTCTTTAATATCTAATCATCTGTATCTTTATTAATTACATCCTTTGATTCTAAAATATGTGTAACTATTCTTTCCGCCCTGCCCGCCCCTCCCTCCACCCCCGCCGCCCCCACCCCCGATTTTGGTCACGTTTCTAATTCATTATTTCCATTCTCAACGTTTAGAAATATGTTGCATGCCATGAAGTTGCCTCTGGGCATGACTTTGACATTTCTCATAGACTTCACCACGTTAAGATTTTCGTTAGCGTTCTTTTCTGTGTGTCTATTTCAATTTTTTATTTTCTTTCATCCAAGAGTTGTTTAAAAAATCATTTTGGAAAAAGAAAGTTTTGAAATGTCTAAGAGGTTCATTTTTTGTTTGTTTGTTTCTTTTCCCTTTGCTACTAATTTCTAGTGACACAGGTGATCAAAGGACATCCTCTGTACTACTTGCACTCCTGAGACTTTGGTAAGGTTTCCTTAGGACCGAAACATCTTTATACTTTGTACCTTAGCCCTCAGGAACAGGGCGAGCCTCGTGCAGATTAATCTGGTTTCTCAGAGGCCACGTGCTATGGTTTTGATTCCTTCCTGACTTTTTTGGCACATCTAAGTTGCCTGCAACTTTTCTGCTTCCATCACAATCTTCCTTCAACACTTAAAGTGTTTTGTTTGGGGAATGTGATGTTGGTTTTTATTGCAAAAGGAAGACTGACTATTACATCTTCATTATGGATTAAATTTTAATATTATCTAGAGCGCCTCCCTTTTGCCTTCAGCTCAGTGGAGTCTGATCTGAACATCGCCATCCTTGCCTGGGTATGTATTTGTTTGAATTTGTCTGGCCTGTCCTCAGTTCTGAGGAACTTTCTTTTCCAGGTTTCTCCCCACTTAAACTTTTTTTTGAGGGGAGGTAATTATCTTTGGCAAATGCTGGCATTTCTGTTGTGTGGTTTTTGAAAGGCTGATTTTCATAATATTTTCCATGGCTATTTTGGTTCCCATATGTTCTTGAGTTACATACATAGGTTAGCTACATAAATTTATACTTTTTAAACTGCCTACTTCATCTAGATTTTAGCACTAATAGCATATACCTAGGATAATATTGCTATATTTTTAACCTGCTTCTATGCTTTTTGTAGTTAACTTCCCAGTTGCATTATTGTGAATGCATGTTGCTTTTTAAAAATTTCCTTCTCAAAGGTTTACATGTTTTAACTCCCCAATGAATCAGTTCTTATATTTAAAAAAATCAGCTTGACAAGTTTTCTGAGAATTAAATTTTGCTTTTCTATGAAGGTACCATCAGTGGCGTTTTATGTAGCTTTCAAATTAAATAATTTATTTATACTTTCACATTTTCTTTTTGAATAATATTAGCATCTAGGGCAGAGGCTCAAACAGGGACCATTTGCCGAGAAACCTGGCTATGCCTGGAGACATTTCTGGCTTTCACAGCTGATGTGTGTGTGTGGAGGTGGTGCTAGGAGGAGCATCTCATGGAGAGAGGTCAGAGGTGTTCCCAAATGTCCTACAACGTGTAGAATGCCCCCTACACATACACAAACACACACACACACACACACACACACACACACACACACACACACACATCCAACAAAGTATTATGTATCCAAAGATGTCAATTGTGCTGAAGTTGAGAACCCCTGCTCCATAACTATGATTTTTGCCCCATGAGGAGCATTTTAACTGTATCATATAAATATTTTAAAAAATATTCTACAGCTGAAGATTTTATTTGATTTTTTTACCTAAACTTATTTGCAGAAGAGTCCTTATTTAACGTATCCTTTCATTATGATGGTCCGAAAACATGATTCCTAGAATTTTATCTTTTTGGTACTGGGGTTTTCATGACGGCTTAGGGTACGATCGTTTTTGGTAAAATGTTCCTGTGCATTGGAAATCATGTTTATGCTGTAATATACACATATCTCGATGTGTCTATTGCATAAACTGTTTCGACTACTTCAGCTGTGATATGCCAAGAAAAATGAGTTAAAGCAGCTCCCACTGCTCCTGGGTTCCCCTCAGTCTCTCTACAGAATTTAAACAGGTTTCCTCATATACATTGATGTGACGTTACTCATTGTTATAAAAGTTCCAGAATGCTGTATTTTCATGATGGCTTCTCCTTTTTAACAATAAAAAAAGCATCTTCACCTCAATTAATGTTTTTATCTTAGATCTGACTTTACCTGGGATCTATATCTCTCTTTACTTTTCCATTTTATTACTGTACACCACTTTAAATGTGCATCTTATAAATAGCATATAGGTAGCTTTTGGTTCTGAGCTCCTAAACTTTTTGTGAAATATATATTGTGTTATTATAGTAATCATAAAGAAACAGACTTTAAGTGCTCTGTTGCAAAGAGTAAAAGATTTTAGGAGGAATTCAATTAAAAAGTGGACAGAGAACTTGAATAAGATCTTGAAGATGTCCAAGTGGCCAACGGGTTTGTCAAAAGGTGCGGGGCATCACTCATCCTCAGGCAGATGCAGATCAAAGCCACAATGAGATACCATCTCTCATCTGCTGGGATGGCTATTATCAAAAAGAGAAAAGATTCAGGGTTGTGAGTTCATCCACGTTGGGCAAAAAAAAAAAAAAAAAAGAGATCAAAGTGCTGACAAGGCTGTGAAAAAGGGGGACCCATGTGTGCTGTTGGTGGGAAAGTAAATTGGAACAGCTCCTGTGGAAAACAGTCTGGAGTTTCCTCAAAAAATTGAAAAGAGGACTACCATGTGATCCAGCCAGACCACTTCTGGGTATCGACCCAAAAGAAATGAAATCACTACCCTGAAGAGATATCTGTGTCCCCATGTTCACTGCATTATTTATCACAGCCAAGACATGGAAATAACCTCGTGTCTTTGAACAGGTGAATGGATAGAGAAAATGTGGGGCTACATACCCTGTTATTTGACCATAAAAAAGAAGGAAATTCTGCCTTTTGCAACAGTATGGATGGGCCTCGAAGGTGTTACACCAAATGACATAAGTCAGACAGAGAGAGAGAGAGACTGTGGATTCTCACTCATGTGGGGGTCTAAAAAAGCCGAACTCAAAGAAAGAGGAAGAGCATGGTGGTTTCCAGGGCCACGGCCTGGGCAAATGTGTGAAGGAGGTCAAAGGGCACAAACTTCTAGCTTCGGGATGAATAAGATGTGGGGGGATCTAATGCACACCATGGGCACTCTAATTAATAATACCTATTATACACTTGAAAGCTATTAAGAATGTAGATCTTAAAAATTATCACTGAACACACACACACGCACACACAAAGGTAATTATGTGAGGGGATGGAGGTATTAACGATCCTCGTTGTAGTAATAATTGCACAAAATATATGCATGTACCAAATCATCCTGTAGACCCTCAAATCACATAGGTTAAATGTTAGTGATATCTCAGTAAAGCTGGAAAAAATTTTAACTCTCAGGAAAATAAAGAGTAGAAGGTTTTAAAATCTCTTCTCTAAACATCCCTCTTTCCGTTTCAATGTGTACACTCCCTTCCCTGAATCTTAAATAAGAGTCTGACATTATTTCCTCAAGGGCAAAATGGCCTTGGGGTTCTACGTTTAGGACCTGTGGGTGGTTTTTTTTTTTTTTTTTTTTTTTTTCTCCTTCTCAGCAGCATGCTTAGAATTCTTCAACTAGATCTTCCTGACTCCGTAATTTAATATATTGCCAACATGGGATAATGGCAGACTTGAATTTTTGCAAATCTGCGAAGTGTGAAATGCTCTCAAAGTTGTTCTAATTTGCACTGTCCTGATTACTAGAGAGGCTCAACATCTTTGCATAAGTTTACTGGCCATTTGGGTTTCTATTTATGCTGCTGTTGGAGTGTAAGCTAGCAAGTAAGGTAAACGCTTCCGGAAGCAATCACATAATACGCACGTACGCTGAAGATGGGCCATCCTGTAACCTAACAATTCTACTCCAAGATATTTATTACAAAGAACTTTCCCAGATGCATAAGAAGACATATATGCTGCAGGATAAATTTTAAAGACATTAGAATGATAAAGCGATTGTCCTTTCGATAGAATGCTGAGCATTGGCTCATGAACTTCTGGGGTTATCTGTTTCTATGGGAAGGTGTGCCTTTGTCTTTGACCAAGCTATCGTACAACTTTGTAAGCTGTAGAAAATTGAAATTAGTGCATCTTATTTTTTAGCATTAAACTTTTTTCATTGTGGGTGCACAAGGGTGGCTCAGTCAGTTAAGTGTCCGACTCTTGATTTCAG